AGGTTAGATGGATGCAGCCTAGCTGGAAGAGTGCCCAGGTTTCTCCTGCACTTATTTCTTGCTCCATTTTATGTCTGTCTCTCTCTCACACACACACACACACACACAGATATTGCGAGGGAGGGTGAGAGGGAGGGAAGGGGAGGGAGGGAGAGAGAGAGAGAAACTGACTGAAGATCAAACGTTGCCAAAAAGAGAGTTCTCTCAGATAATATTTTATTTAAGTATGCCAAAGCATCCCAAGAACAAGCAGCAAACATAATGATGCCATTTTCATGTTGCTTGGACATCACAATGGAATCTGTCCTGTGTCAGAGGAGCCCGCACAGGCTATACACTCTGCATACACTCTGCAACCAGCATACAAATTTACGATGTTGACAATCCTGAGTTGAGTCTGTAGAGTGTCTCTGCAACCTTTGTCAAAAATATCTACTGTTTAAGGAACTGAACTTGTTGACGTGAGAGGGTCTCTGACCTCACATGTACAAACTAGTCAAAATGTCCAAAACAGATTTGCCAGTAGTGACAAATCACTCACCCATAAAAAATTTAAAAAATAAAATAAAATAAGAAAAGGACCCAAACCAAAACTGATACGGAACAGTCTTGACAGAAGTCCAGTGCGAGAAAATTCTTCAGAAGACATGGGCATCCTTCAGCCTGAAGAACCATCAACAGGCAGTTTGATAATCAACCAAATATTGTGTGTTGCTTCTTTTTATCCCTGTAGCGTTCAGCCCTGCCCTCACCTGTCCGTCACAGCTGAGCAGTGGAACAGCAGCCAATGAGGGGACGGAAGGTGGTGCTAAAGCGGGATGAGCTGGGATATGAATAAGGGTGTATGTTATATGAAGAGAGATTTTGAGAGATGTGAGATTAGTGTGGAGACTTAATGAGTCTGTGGGCCGGTGAGCCAAAAAGTCAGTGAGAGAAGAGTCTGTGTGTCAGTGAGAGAGAGTTATTGATTAACCACTTGTGATTTACCTATTTTATTTTACTGATCAAATAAACAAGTTTAAGTTTTAAAGAAACACATGATTCAGTGATTTATTGGTATTGAAACAGCAATACCTGGTGGCAGCAATTTGAGAAGAAGAGTGAGCATCCCCTGGAGGCCTGAGAGAATAGAGGCTCCAGCGTGCTCGCAACAATCCCCTGAAAAAGTAGTGACCAATACCAACAACAATTCTACAAGCGTAGCTGAAATCTTCTTTTTTCCCTTGGGAAGAGCTCTATTCAAGCCACAGAAGGTAGGTTAAAAAGGGGGGAGATGCTTTAGCTCCCTCTTCCTCTGAAGCAGTTTCTAGTTCTCTCATACCACCAAAAATGCCTTTGTGAAAGGAACTTCCTCTGTCTGTGAAAAATCCTGATTCCAGACTGCATGGAGAGACAGAGATCCTCCTCCTCATAAAGTTCTTCTTTTTGAAAGGAGAGTAATGTTGGAGCAGAATAGTGCCTTCCCCTGTTGACATGGTTACTTATATAAAAAAAACAGAGAAGGCCTGAATAGGGATAATGTTAAACCAAATCCAAGGACTAGCACAAGGAGGTACCTGTTCCATAGGAGAATGATTCCCTTCATGTAAGCACCTTTTCAGTGAAGTGTTTGTTCCCTGTTCTGATGATGATGACGATGATGAAACTTCTATTTCACTTTTTCTTCAATGACCTCGTGGTGGCCCACACAGCCCTTCTCTTCCTCACTTTGTTCTTCGAACAAGTCTGAGCGACGACGATGAAACTTCTATTTCACTTTTTCTTCAGTGACCTCATGGTGGCCCACACAGCCCTTCTCTGCCTCCTCACTTTGTTCTTCGAACAAGTCTGAGAGGTAAGTCGGGCTGAAGAACTGTGTTACTAGCCCATGGTCATCCAGGAAGTTTCATCAGTGGGAATTTGAAACTAGGTACAGTATCTTGGTTCTCCATCCAATGCTCTACTACACCACATTATTTTTCATGGTCAGAGTATTTGAACATGTTCCCTTTTATCTGATGGCCAGAATTCTAGCGGCATTCACACAAGGTCTGCATAAGTTGCTATGGCTCACTGTGAGTAACTGTGGAGTAACTCAGGACAGGCCTCTGCTACCTAGCTGGTCATACATCCAACAGCACAACTGAGATCTGACCCATCACCGCACCACAGCAGTGCCGAGTAACACAAAACATATATACACCAACACGAGTCCAGCCAATGCACATTCTCTCTGGTTTTGGACAATCAATTTTCTCGTTTCTTACACATGCATGATCTAAAATATGCACTTTTCTTGGGTAAAGTGAGCCAAAGCTCAACATCCTAGCAGCCCTCTGCCATTACTCATGATGCAATATATGCTGAATGCACAGGGAACGAAATTAAAGTACCTAGGTTGCAAAAAGATACATGACAATGTTACCACTCATTTGCAAGTCAAGAGAGAAGTCTTAAAAATAATAATAAACTGGACAAGCCACCACCAGTTAAAACAAAACAAAAACCAATTAAGAAAGCTCAAACTGAACGAAGGAGAGTTCATTCATCACTACCAAAGCAATCCCCCTACCTTGATACTAAAATAAACACACATGCATTTTCAGTCCCAAAGCTGTCACAGAAGTGACCACATCACTGCCTAGTTCAACTCTACAGTACAACACTAAGGATGGCAATTTTCTCTGCAGTAGCCTTCTGTGTTATTCTAGCTATTCAACACTGCCTCCTTCTACTTATAAACGTATCCCCATCCCAACCATTCTGATCTCTTTACTCCATTAACACAGCTTTAAATGCTAATGAAAACGTTGAGACTCAAAGGGTACAGTTGCATTTCTCTGAGGCAAGCTGTTAATTTGCAATGTTTTTAATCTCCTTGTGAGCCACTGAATGTGCCAGGAGAATACAGGGACAGAATTAAAAATAAGCAAACAAGCTCTTCAACTTTGCATATAGGTACGATGCGTACTACCGTGTTTCCCCAAAAATAAGACTGTCTTATATTAATTTTTGCTCCAAAAACACATTAGGGCTTATTTTCAGGGGATGTTTTATTTTACAGTCATGTCATCATCTTCTGGTTCCTGCAGAATGCTGCACAATGGTGGAGGGCGGGGTTTCACATAACTGGGACTTTTTTGGGGGATAGGACCTATATTATGAGCATCCTGAAAAATCATACTAGGGCTTATTTTCAGGTTAGGTCTTACTTTCAGGGAAACAGGGTAGAAGGCCACTGCAGTACAACAGCAAAAGTGGGAGATGTTTTTATTTAACTCTGAAAAGAAACACAGGTCTTAATGAAGCCATTTAGGAATTTTAGTCATAGTTCTTACTGATCTCTATTCAGATATCACAATTAATATGGCAGACAAATGGACTTTTTATTTGCTATAAGAATGTAAAGCAAACAAGAAGTCCCACATCAAATAATAACAATTATGCTGTAATTGTTAAGAATTCTGATATGTAGTATTACCTTTCGTATAATGTATGTTTCTGTGTTTTTTATTACTCAAGTCCATGTTTCTATGCTTTTGCAGACTCTCTTCTAAAATTGTTCACATTTTTCCAAGTTAACAATTCAGTTGCTGCCTGATCCTTTTCCTTTCTTTTCATGCCATAAATATACACCAGCACAAGGCACTGTCATCAAAAGCTTTATGTCCTGCCAATCCCAGATCAACCTGCCAATCCTTGGAAAATCTGTGGTAAATCAGGGAGTCAGGTACCATGTAATAAAAGGACACTAAGCTATTCTTCCTTGGAAGCGCTTTGATTGTTCCAAGGATTTGCAAAACTGCCTAGCCACAAAGTGCTGACAGCAGTTGCATGACCTGAGGTATTTAGCTTTGTTTGTCTGTACAAGAGGATTTGGAAAGGTCTCACATTTGAGAACTGTGCACTTTGGACTGTTACACATAGAAATATTTACTGGAAAATCAGTAAAAGGAAAAAGAAAATGTACTGAAAAATTCAGCCTGAAAACTGTTTACTTTCGGTACTTTTTACTGAGCATTCAGTTTTCTGGAAAACCTTTTTCTCTTTAGTACTTTCACAATTCTAAATGCTCACCCATATTAAGCAGAAAAACATGAACAGGAGAGAAAATGGAACAGACAGCAGCACAACAAATGAAAAATTAAAGGGAGGATGGGATATCTCAAGAAGTAAAAATAATTTATTTTATTGGTATTATTTCCAGTTATTGTCTATGGTTATCAGTTCTTTAAAGTAACAATGTACTGAATAGAATACTTTAAAATGTCACCAAAATATTTTGCTTAGTGAGGATGCAGACTGAACAATCGACTCTGTAGTTACACATCACTGTACAACAGGATGGCAAACTGGTGTTAAGAGTCAAGGTGTCCAAGCATGGATATGAGCAGACTGTTTCTCAGCTACTATAATAAAAGTGTATGAAAGACACAATTGTCTGGCAGAACTAATGATCACAATGTGCTATTTATTTTATTAGCTTTTTGTTTTGAGATATATTTGTCTGATTTACACCTACAACATTTACCTCTACATTATCATTTAGAAAACTGGATGAACTTCCCTTTTTGCCTGAACAGAATTTCGGCTCTTTGGCTTAATTAAAATAGGAACTTTTTTAAAATGGCCCACTTGTGGACTCTTGATGATGAAAAGACAAACATAAGCAGTGACAAAGGATTATTGCAATGCCACACAAACCTGAACAATCGTAATTAAATTAATCTCAGTTAGATAAAATGAAATAATGGAATACAATGGCTTATAAGCACCTTCGAACTCAATTATTCTATGATTCTATGACTCTATGATCCAATCAGAACATTAAAAGATCTACAAGCCTCAGCACACAAGATAACTACTTAATACATTTGAGTAGAGGTTGACAAGTACACTGAGTTGGTTGATTCATGAAGAGAGAGCTGTGATTATTTAGTTTAGATCACTTGAATCCTGAAATGATCACTCAATGCAAATTCAAAAACTCAAAGGAAATAAATAAACAAGCATCCATTTACCTTCTTTAAAGTCAACAGTCTTCTGCTTCACCAGCACTCTGAAATTTTCTGCTGGGTTAACACTTCCAACCTACAAAATAATTCAGCAAAGGTTACATTCTCAGCTAATTTCTTCACTAATTTCTTCAACATTTTTTGTAAAACCCAGCAAAGGTTACATTCTCAGCTATTACACTAATTTCTTCAACATTTTTTGTAAAACAAAACTAGAATCTGGAGTGCTTCCTCACTCTCTCAGTTCCATAAGATAAATCACTCTGGATATGTGTTAATGTCATATAGTGTACACCGATCAAAAGTGAATATGACTGGAGCAGCTCTACAAGATGAACTGGGCAGATGTTATTCTGCCCTCTCATGATGTGGTCATTATCTCCAAAGACATGGGTCAAGATAACAAGCCCTCATGCTGCTTCTCTAGCATAATTTTAAAACTCTCCAACTGCTCTGGCTGCCTTTACATTAGGACGTTCGCTTAATTGGAAGTCAAACCTCTTTGCCAAATGAGCAGAAAACAGCTGAACTGAACTGGTTCAATGGCGTTGCATTTTGTGAGAAAAACGAAAGAATCGTCTGACTTTTCATACCTTCTTAGTCTAACTCAGAAATTGCAAATAAAAGCTACAAGAGTACAGGCAAGAATGAAGGCCACAAGCTTCTAAGGAACTAGAAGGGGATTAACAGAAGCTAGGGAGGGAGTGATGGCCCTTTATAACCCCCACAAAAAAACACCCCACTTTGAAATGTTAGTGGACACTGAGAAGGAGATTTTGAAGGATACAATGGTAGGGAAATTATGGCTATTATGTTAGGCACTTACCATTGCACAAATAGTATAGAGACACATTTACCGTATTTTTCTGTTGATAAAATGACCCAATGTATAAGACGACTCCCCCTTTTTCTAACCTCAAATTAGAAGATTTGATCCCTGTTTTTCCCTTCCTTTTGCTAAGCCACAGATCTTAGCAAAAGGAAGGGAAAAGCAGGGATCAAAGGGCTCCCTTTGACTACCGCTTTTCCTTGCCTTTTGCGAAGTCGTGGGTCTTGGCAAAAAGGGAAAGCTCCCTTTGGGTAAAGCAGCGATGAAAGGGCTGCACGATCACAGCCCTTTGATCCTGAAGCCCTTTCATGGCTGCTATACCCACTAAAGCCCCACGAGGCTTAGGAAGTGGGTAAAGCCCCGCAGGGCTTAGGAAGTGGGTAAAGCAGACATGAAAGGGCTTCAGGATCAAAGGGCTGAGATCATGCAGCCCTTTCATCGCTGCTTTACCCACTTCCTAAGCCCCATCTTAGGAAGTGGGTAAAGCGATGACAAACTTCGATAGCATCTTAAAAAGCAGAGACATCACTTTGCCAACAAAAGTCCTAATAGTCAAAGCTATGGTTTTTCCTGTAGTGATGTATGGAAGTGAGAGCTGGACCATAAAGAAAGCAGACCGCCGAAGAACTGATGCCTTTGAATTGTGGTGCTGGAGGAGGCTCTTGAGAGTCCCCTGGACTGCAAGGAGAACAAACCTATCAATTCTAAAGGAAATCAACTCTGAGTGCTCACTGGAAGGACAGATCCTGAAGCTGAGGCTCCAGTACTTTGGCCATCTCATGAGAAGAGAAGACTCCTTGGAAAAGACCTTGATGTTAGGAAATGGTGACGGCAAGAGGACGACAGAGGATGAGATGGTTGGACAGTGTCTTCGAAGCAACCAACATGAATTTGACACAACTCCGGGAGGCAGTGGAAGATAGAAGGGCCTGGCGTGCTCTGGTCCATGGGGTCACGAGGAGTTGGACACGACTAAACGTCGACAAAGCCCCAGCTTTACCTGAAGGGAGCCTTCCCTTCCTTTTTGCTAAGCTCCATGGCTTCGCAAAAGGCAGGGAAAAGCGGCTGCCTTCTGTGTATAAAACGACCCTCAAATTTTTTGTCTAATTATTTAAGGGAAAAGTGTCATTTTATACACAGAAAAATACGGTGCCATCAAAATAAAGCAGAAAACTCAGATTCTGTAGGCTTTGTAATTTCATAGCTACTGGTCATCATAACATAGGCGTCAATATATTACAGTTTTCCCTCACTAGCCACTGTCTCAGCTTCTAAGCATTTGTGTAATCTTTATGAACTGTTCAATTATTCAAATATTTAAAGGGAAACACTTTCTACTAAGTGTAGAAAGATGCAGAGTGAGGACAAGAGAGCACTATTAGGATAGTCATTTGCCAGAAGGAGTGAGATTTAAAGAATGTAAATGGAGAATAGCTAGTGTAGGCATTCAAAACAAAAATGACTCAAAGAAACAGTCTTATTTTCCGCCAAACAAATGATCAAGATATATGTGACTGCCAGTTTATAGTCACCGTTTTTAATAAATGCAGCTTCTACAATTCAAACTGGTTCAATTCTGGAGTTTTGGTGGTCACCAACCCTGCTGCTGAAACTTGGAAGTTCTTAGTCCACAAGTTACATTGCTGCACTTTACCCAAATGAGGGTAAATTTGTTACAAAATAATCATGGGAAAGGGGGCTCATGAAACCACTGGCATTTGCCCTAAAAATGACAAGGCTCTCAATTCCTGATGTTGTCTTATGCCATCAGGGAGTGACAGCCTTTTCAATACAGCTGATCTCACCTAGTCTGTGATAGATTCCTTTACAAAAAGTACCTACTGTGGTGACATTGCCTTCAGCCAGATTTGCAATCCTGAAGCCACCTTCACTGCTTTCCATTTTTGCCTTTTTAGCACTGGGCCCATCTTCATTACTACAAGCAGACAAGACCAAATTATCAGTTTGAGGGGGGAAAAATCTTCAAATACAATGAACTAGGCAATTTATATGAGACAGCTCATGTGCTGTGAAGAAGACTGCAGTTCAGTCATGGAGTTGTTTCTTAAGCCCCTGACAAATTGAAACTGTCTCAGACAGTGGGACTGGTGCGGGAAGGGTATACCTAGGTAAAATCTTGATGCCACAGTGATGGCATGTCTACCAGAACTACAATATTAGCTGTAGATTATTCTACACAGAAACACAAGAGAGACATACACACGTATCATACCATTATGCATTCATATCAGTTTCCTTCCAATGATTAAACTGGCATGAGAGATAATGGAAATTTTATGTTAAAGAAAGAAATCTATTTACCCTTCCAATGTAATTTGCTGGCTCCTGTCTTGGAAGTGATAGTTATTAAGTATCTGGGAACAGAGACATATTATATGTCTCCTAATGCAGTGGTCCCCAACCTTGGGCCTCCAGATGTTCTTGGACTTCAACTCCCAGAATTCCTAGCCAGAAGAAACGGTTGTGAAGGCTTCTAGGAGTTGTAGTCCAAGAACATCTGGAGGCCCAAGGTTGAGGACCACTGTCCTAATGCATCTCCTTGGTCAACGGACATGTGAGCCTGATAAACTTCAACCTGCAGCTCCCAGCAGTCACTGAATCCCCAATTAAACATGCAAGGCCTCTCTTGACTGAATTGCTTTAAAGTAGACCCATAACTTCTTTATGCGCCCTTGGCTTCCTAAAATTAGAAGCAAGGATGATACACTTAAGAGCATGGATCTACTTCAGGTATCCTAAAGCCCCTTCGGATTAACGTTGCACTTTGGATTAATGTTGGAGTTGCTACATACTAAACGAGAAGCAAAAGTTCAAAAAGCTTTCTCCTGAAGAAGGCCATTGCCGAAATGTGTTGAGCTTGACCTTTTTAGATAAGGATAAAATTTGCATTCCTACCATTTTTATACATCTGGAGACTCAGTCTCCCATTTGTACTTTTGCCACCAATGGATGTATCAGTTCCCTCTGCTTTGATCCTAAAGACCCATCAGAAGGAGTCAGTCTATTAGAGATATATGGGCAAATCATTACTGCTTTAAAGGTGAACACTGTCACCTTAAATCATGCCACCACCACCCCACAAAAAAGAGAAAAAACATTATAGGTCACTTTAACGCTACTACTCTCAGAAATTAGCAGCAATTTTTAAAGGCAGCCCTATATAATGCCTCAAGCTTGAACTCGTTGCCTGTCTGGGAGTTCTAACATGTGCCTCTTTAAAGAATCTCTGACACACGTCAGAGGGTTAACTTACTTGTCTTTGAAGATATGTTGAGCTGTCTTCTGCTCTTTCATTTTGCCTGCTTCCTTCAAGGCAAAAAGGGATTTTACTTTTTCAAGGGGAGCACGGCATTTCTCTGCCACTTCCAGAGGTGTCACCAACATGTCTAAGATGTGTTTCTCAACAGCAGGTAGAGGTGAATCAGGATGGAAAGCCTTATGCTGTAGGCACTGGTGAGAAAATGCAAAGAAACAAGTATTTCAAGCCACTTATTTATATACTGTCCACGCTGTTTTTCCAAAAACGTAACTTTCCCAGTCTCTGATAATATATAGAGTGGATGGTATTTATCTCAAAGTATAAGTTCAAATATTTCTCAACATGCAAGATGATTCTCTATGAATAGATGAGGTAACAGAGATTATAAGGGATGTTTTAAGGTAAAATGGCTCAGATATCTCATGAAAAGTGTTCAGTGATTTAAGATTAATGACAATAAATATAATGTATTCTTGAAGGCTTTCACGGCCAGGATCTGATGGTTGTTGTAGGTTTTTTCGGGCTGTCTGGCTGTGTTCTAGAGGTTTTTCTTCCTAACATTTCGCCTGTCTCTGTGGCTGGCATCTTCAGAGGACAGGCGTCAGAACTCTGTCTGTGCTCTGGTTCAGTTTGTGGGATAGTTGAGTATTTATAGCTGTGGGATCAGCTTTTTGCCCTTTTCAGGAGATTGGATGATTATGGTGATCAGCATGTTTTTTTTTGTTATGGGTGTATTGCTGTGATAAGGGGGAGAGATGATCTGTCACTGTAATTGATGGGTGTCATTAGCTGGTCTTTTTTGGGCAGTGATCACTGGTCCTTCTGGCTGAGTAGAGTTTGTTGACCTTTTGCAGGCTAACCCTAACCCTACCCAGCACTGAAAAACACAACCTCAAGAACACGGCCAGACCTACTACAACCAATAAACATAATGACAATAAATTCCTTGCCTCTGCTGCAATTCACAGATTTGTCAAAAGTACACAGAGATCACTATTTTAACCAACTATGTTGATTAACGTTCAAAACATCACAGTGATCAATTTAAACTTTAATGTCACTTTTTAAATATAATTCTAAGCTGGGCTATAAAATGCCTGGATAACAAAACTCCTTAAGTCAAACTTGGGTTTGCCTGCAAAGACATCCATCTTCTCTACTCCAATTTCTAGGATATAGTTCAAAACTCTCAGTACTGAAATACTAAATTATTTTATTCTGCCCACACAAGGTAAAGGTTCCCCTTGACATTGAGTCCAGTTGTGTCCGACTCTAGGGCACGGTGTTCATCCCCGTCTCCAAGCCGTAGAGCCAGCGTTTGTCCATAGACAGTTTCCGTGATCACGTGGCCAGCGCGACGAGACATGGAACGCTGTTACTTTCCCGCCATGGTGGTACCTATTTATCTACTCACAGTTTTACATGCTTTCAAACTGCAAGGTTGGCAGGAGCTGGGACAAAGCGACAGGAGCTCACTCCATCGTGTGGATTCAATCTTATGACTGATGGTCTTCTGACCTTGTAGCACAGAGGCTTCTGCGGTTTAGCCCACAGTGCCACCACGTCCCAAGTTTTTTTTGCCCATACATCTTCCTGTCAAATCAATTTAAATAAATGAGGGGCCATGCACAGGTTATTCTGCTGTGAGCCAGTTGCAGGGCAGAGGTCTGTGGAAATACTACACTATCAGTTGCATGCTGATAGTCACAAGACTGCAGCATCTATAGTGATTTCTTAATAAGGCAATTATCCTCCCAAAATTACAACATCTGTGCTATACTGGCATAGTTAGCCAACAGTACCTGGGCCATTACATTTCTGCCAAAAAGTTTCCTTTTGCTGGATCTAGTGAGATACAGAAGAAAATAAGGTATGTTTTAAAGTGATGGTGAAAAGTTCCTCCTCTTACCTGGTACAATCTTTGGAACTGAGGATTTGGGAATTTGCTGGTTTTAAATACATCCTTGATTGTCCCTTCAGTCTCATCTTCATAAACCAAGCTCATAGAATCAATCAAAGAATCAACTGCAAGTAACTGATCCTCTGGGTCAGCAAAAACAAGCAAAGACATATCAGATAAAGAGTCACGAGAGAAAGGTACTATATCAAATTTCTCCTTAGGGAGGAGGCAAGAACTTCCACCCAGTGCAAGTAATTCAAGCAGAAAACTCATAAGGTAGTAAGAACAGTCGAAAGATAGATGTGTGCCAAAATTTTTATTCCTAGCCCAGGAATGTGAGTAGATGTTAAGGCTATGGGATTTTCTATTATGTCAGAACATCCGGTAGTTTCCCATTATTGTAAAATCTGGGTGAGCAGAAAAAAATTGTTTATAGTCAGAAGGAAAAGAAAAACAATTGGAAACAGTTATAAATATGTGGAGACAGGACACAGGCAAACAGGGCATTCCAATACATCATCACAATTCCAAAGCACTTTGGGCACGAGACATCACAGAACAATCAACATGGACTTTAAGTGGTATAACTGGGTGAAGAATTTAGAAAATGTATTTTTTTCTGTATGAAGCTAATAATATGCTTCAAGGTTAAGAGAATTATTAATATAATAATATATGTGGAGACAGGACACAGGCAAACAGGGCATTCCAATACATCATCACAATTCCAAAGCACTTTGGGCACGAGACATCACAGAACAATCAACATGGACTTTAAGTGGTATAACTGGGTGAAGAATTTAGAAAATGTATTTTTTTCTGTATGAAGCTAATAATATGCTTCAAGGTTAAGAGAATTATTAATATAATAATATATAATAATATCAATATATATTTATTTTTTCAAACTTTGATATTTTTCTATGCTTTTTAAGTAAAGGCTAAAGATTACTGAAAGTTATAATGCTTTTATTATTTATTTTATTTTATTTTATTTTATTAGATTAATATACCACCCATCTAGAACATGACTACTCTGGGAGGTTAAAGGATGTATTCTCTGTCTCTTGTTTTAATATGCCTTTTTTAGGCTATCAAGCTTTTAAAATTTTGGATGTTTTTTATATTGTCTACAACTTAAGCTTTGTATTTGGATACCTGCAACTTCTCATGATTTTTAAACTGCTTGGATGGAAATCACACCTGTAACTTTTTGCAAGTTGCAAGGAAGGATTTTTAAGCATTTGTGCCTACAGTTTTCTTCATAGCTGTAAGATGTTTGTATGTTGCAACAACTCTGAAGTATTTTGTGCATATGGAACAAAGAAGCAATGTAGATATACAAAACCTAGAGAAAAAGAAAAGCTGATGTTGCCTGCAATTATTGAAATACCGAAACAATTTATAGTTTGATAAATGATTTTTGATATGATTGTCTGTGGTTGGTTTAATTATGAAATTAGCCCTTAATTGGGATAAATGCCAGTTGTGACGAACGCAGGCTTCTTATTCCCCCTCCCTTCGGCACGTCTATGAAGTTTTGTAAGACTTTGAGGTGCATATGTGTTTAAAATATTAGCTGAGCTAACCTGACACTGCTGCTATCTTCACAGTCCCAGAATAATGTATATCACAAGGAAGAACTGTGTCTATTTTCTCCCTCATAGAATTGACTGACAATTCAGTGCTGAGGAGAAAATGTAAAGCACCTGCAGGTAGGGCCGTAGCTGGTATAATTTCCGCAGCTGAAGGAAGGTGCCCCTGGCCACCGAGTCCACCTGGGCTTCCAGAGTTAGGTCAAGGAGCACCCCCAGGCTGCGGACCCTGTTCCTTAGGGAGAGTGTAACCCCATTCAGGGCAGGGAAATGGCCCTCCAGCCTGTCCGACGAAGCACCCATTAACAGCATTTCCATCTCGTCTGGATTGAGTTTCAATTTCTTAAACTTCATCTAGTCCATTATTAGGTCCAGACACGAGTTCAGTACAGAAACCACCTCACCTCGATTGGTGGAAAATGAGAGGTGGAGCTGAGTGTCATCAGCATGTTGCTGATTCCTCAGCCCAGACCTTCTGATGACCTCTCCCAGCGGTTCCATGTAGGTGTTAAAGAGCACGGGGGACGGTATCGAGCCCTGAGGAACCCCATGACATAAACGCCATGGGACAGAGCAACTATCCCCCAGCACCACCCTCTGGACATGGTCAGCTAAGAAGGAGCAGAACCTCCATAAAGCGGTGCCCCCAACTCCCAACCCAGCCAGCCTATCCAGAAGGACACCATGGTCGATGGTGTCAAAAACTGCTGAGAGGTCCAGGAGTATCAACGGGGCCACACTCCCCCTGTCTCTCTCCTGGCAAAGGTTATCGTACAGGGCGACCAAGGCAGTCTCCATACCAAAATCCAGTCTGAAACCTGATTGAAATAGATCCAGAAAAACTGTTTCATCCAGTAGCGCCTGGAGTTGCCCGGCCACAACCTGCTCCAACACTTTGCCCAAATAAGGGAGGTTTGCCACTGGTCGGTATTTAACCACCAGCCTTGGGTCCAGGTTAGGCTTTTTTAGGAGTAGCCAAATTATCGCCTCTTTCAAGGTGGTAGGGACCACTCCCTCTCTCAAAGAGGCGTTCATGGCCTCCTGGACCCAGGTGCGAACCCCCCTGGCAGATCTTCCAATTAGCCAAGGTGAGCAAGGATCGAGCGGAGTGGTGGTAGAACGGACAGATCCAAGCACCCTGTCCACATCCTCAGTTCTCGTCAACTGAAACTCATCCATTAATACTTGACCTAAGCACGGCACACTGGACACATCCTCTGATTCTGCAGTAACCGTGGAGTCCAACCCACTGCGAATCTGAGCAATTTTCCTCTCAAAATGAATGGCAAACTCATCACAGCGAGCTGATGAGCAGTCTGGGACCTCCACCAGAGTTCCCGGATGAAGAAGATCCCGGACCACCCAAAACAGCTCTGCTGGACAACATTCTGAGGAAGCAATACGGCTGAAGAAATATTGCAATTTCGCCAGCTGTATTGCCATGAAATCAGCCCAATAATGGGAACTAAGTTGTGTTCGCTTATTTAAAAAAAAGTGCAATCAAGTGATGCTTTGAATGTGCAGGATCTCTAGCAGCCTGACCCTGGTTTACTTCTCAAAATGATCAGGATTCAGCTGTTAAGGACAACTGCCTACTTTCTACCCACCTCCTCTGCATCATGGCAGCTTTTATTCACAAATATGTTACTACTCATTTTTTTATTTCAGGGATTTTCAGCAAGTCTGCTTTATAGTTAACTGCATTTGGCTCTGTCTCTTCCCAGCTATCATCCAACTGTTCCACTGAGCGACCTCAATACGCTCGATACACACATTGCTTGGGTTTTCTTAGTCTTCCTTCCCCTTCCCCATCACCATTCGAATTGGTGTTGTGTCTTTTTAGAGGGCAAGTCTCAAGGCAGAGATAATCTTGGGTTGCTATTGTTTTAACTGATCTGTTACCTAGACTTCCAGCCCTTCCGGTTAAAGGGTGATATATGAAGTTACAGAAAAATGGATACATGTACAATATATCTTTAAAGCAAACGGTGTTGCTTTTCAGGGTGTTTAAAAAACAAACAAACAAAAACAATCACTACCTTGCATTCATTTTCAAGACATAACCGCCGATGGCATCCCTGTTACTCCAAGTGTAGGCACAACTATGAAGTCTTGAGCAAAAATTTTAATGGGTTCCAACAAATGATGTTACAGACCAAGGTCAGGAGGAAGAGAAGATTCAGCTCCCAAAGAGAATGAAAACTAGATTCCTTGATGCACAAGGTTGACAGTGTAGGAAAAAAAAACATACACAAATCTAAACCTATCTTAAAATGGCATGAAAGAAGTTCCCATTGGTTCTAACAGCTGTCTGCCTTGCCCAGCCTGACATCATCCCAATGTCTTCACCTGCAACTCCCATCACCCTTAGCTATGCTATCCAGAAAATATGAATGGTAGCATACACTCATTCCACGTGAATGGTACCCAGCTGGGAAACACTGATTTATTCATATTCAAAATGGGGGGAAAAAACAAGAGAGTCATAGAGAGTATCTAGAGCACAGTTAGGATGCTGTATAACTCCCACAATCCTCTGCCACTTGCCTTGATGAATGAAGCCAAAGGGAAGTTATAGGTCAGTGATATCTAGAAGCCCAACAGCTCATCACCCTTGATCAACAGACTCTGTCCCACGTCACAAAAACCTGAGGCACCCAGTCCCAACAGAAATACCAAGAATGCACCCCCAATCGCTCAGAAGGGATCAACAGCAGACCATCAAAGCGCATGTTCCCCCCTCTTACTCTGCCCTCTCCCACTTTCAATTTAATTGCAGTTATGTGCCAACACTATAGTAGCTGGAAAACAATGAACTACCCTGGTTCACCTTAAAGTTCATGCCATGTGTTTTTTAACCAGATTTAAAGCTGAAAGACAGATTTCTTTCCATGGGAAACCTTACAAAGGACGCTGTTATTAAAAAAGTAATATATGGATGCAGAAACCATCATTTTACAAGCAATCATTTCTGAAATATAGAACATCACAAAGAATATTTAAATTGCAATCCTGTACAAATTACCTGAGCTGGGACTAAGCAGCCCTCAACTCAGTGGGACTTTGTGTAGAAATACACAAAATACCTCTGTTAAGAATATGAGTCAAAGTGGATGCTTACCTGTTGCTGTATACTTTTTATTATTTTTCAAGGAGGAAAACACATATTGTCTCAAATCTTCCATATATGGCATCTGTACATACGCCAAACACTAAAATCAAAACAAATCGGTTTTTGAGTGTCGGGGGGGGGGGGGGAGACAGAAATGTCATGAAAACTTAATTAAATATAAAAAGAACAAACCTTCCAACCGGACACTTCCAGATGAGGGTTTTACTGTAGGATCACACTGACTTATTCATGGACTAGTATAGAAGGCCCCAACATTGCTGTCTTTTATTTGCATCACCGTCCAGCGAAGATTCTTCATAGCGCGGCCGTTTTCGCTGCCTGTGCAGCAAGGAATCTGTCCCAGAAAACAGCAGGCGGCCATTTTTTTTTCCCGACGGCCATTTTGAAACCGCCGATCAGCTGTAAGAAAATAGTTGTTTTGCGAGAATTGGTTCCCAAAGCAGGGAACCGATCATCGTAAAGCGAAATTCCCCCATAGGAAACATCATTTTGCGATCACTTTTGTGGTCGCAAAACTTCATTGTTATGCGATTTCATCGTAAAACAGAGCGCTCGTCTTGCGAGGCATCACTGTATACCTATACCCAAGACTGAAAAAGAATATTCAGCACAGGAATAATATAGATGGATGGACACTACATTCCTGAGGAGAGTGGCTTGCCTTTTCCTCTCTCTGCAGATTAAAGTATGTGATCTCTCTGTATTATGTGCCAATTGGCCCCAGGGGACTCTGCTTTAGGCCTGAATCTCTGGGGGGCTGATGAGATCCTGCAGCAGGGGCCTCGTCCCTCTTCAAGGGAACAAGGAGAAGAAATTACATCATGGCGAAGGAAACACAATCTGCATTAAATCACTAAGCCAAAAAAGAGCGAGCAAATGAGACTCTTGTACTCTTACCGGGCAGAGAGACCTACTTATGTAAAGCTACCTGTGCTGCCCACCTAGGAAGGAACCCAGAGCAGTGTCACTGCCTGAAGCCCATAGGCAAGGGAGGAGGTCATATTTTCTTATCCCTCAAGATCTTTTCTTCATTCCCTCTATTGCCAAGGAATGAACGCCTCAGTGCCAGAGAGTGTAGAAGCGGAGAAAATAGCTAAGGGTGACTTTTACCAGCTCTGTCTCCCTTTCCTCCGGGTTTCGCCAAAAGGCCTTCAATATAGGCCTGAGTGGAGATACTTTGTGGAAACCAGAAACATCCTTAGGAGTGGCAATGGGAGACAGCCCCCATTTCTAAGTATTATACTTATCTTGCTCACATTCCTACAAGACCAAGTTGACCACAGACAGATTTTAACCATTGTCTCACTCGTGGTTTTTAACTGTTGTTTTACACTGTAGCCAGTGTAAAAATGCATATTTGCATTCCCAAACAAAAGTATCAACACAGCGGCATCTATCAGCAAATAGTATCAATCTTTCAAGACTATGAGATAAATCTATTTGATAATAGATAAATCTATTACAGATTCTATTTGTGTTTCATCAAACAGCATAGAAATTCATTAATACTTTAGTGATACCTCCTAACCTAATCAAAATAAATTTGCCTCTCTGTCTTTAACATGTGCAAAATTTTTTTTTAAAAGTTTCTGGATATTTAATAGTTGTTCACTCAGTGTGTGAATTTGCTTCTTAAGAGTCCCTCCACAGTTTTCTTGCAAATGGTGGCCATCAGCAATCAGCTGCTCTTCACTTTCACATACAGTACCGATACTTTCTCTTATTCACAAGCGTCCTCCAGCTCATCTTAAGTGATTTCCCTTTCTATGGGATGCATAGGCACACAAAAATTAAAAATAAAATAAAAATGAAAGCTTATGTCCAGTCCAACATCCCCCTTAATTTTCAGTCCTGCTCAGTGGGGCTCTGCCCATTTCGTGTGCAGTTCTGCTCTCCCCACCCCCACCCCTGTGCGGGGTTCCACTATGACCAGAACCGATGGGGCTGGAAACACAAAGTGTGGGTGAACAGAGAAGAAGGAACACATCATGGCTGTGCAGCTTAGAGGGAACTTTGCTCCACTTCCACATGAGTCTCTGCTTAAGCAGAGCAACACATATGCACATTGTTTCCCACAAGAAGATACCAAAAATATGCTGCAGAACTGATATTGCCATTTGCAGACTCTGTGTACAATTTGGGTTTCTGAGGATGAATGGCTATTTTTTTCTACAAAAAAAAAACAAGTGGTACATAAAGGCTGATATTCTGTAACTTTGTTACACATGTGGGAAGCAAACAGTATTAAAGTTTGTTGCTTTGAGCTGGCAATTAACAAGCCTTCCACTAGGATTTCTCAAGTGTAAGTGTACAAAATCTAAGTTTTCCCTCAAAAACTATTTTTTGAATAACAAAAGAGCCTGTGTGCAATCTTCCTTAAAAAAGCCCTGAAATATAAAAAATACATACACACTATGATAATTTTGCCTCTCAGAGAAAGAAATTTTGGAAGTTTTCATTTACACTCAGAGAATGAAATAAGTGAAGATGTACAGAAAGAGAGAACTACATAGGCATTAACAAGCTCAGTCATCATAGAAAATATTACCTCATATTCATCCTTAATTACTGGGAAGGCTGCTCCAACCTGTGGTAGAGATCTTTTATCATAGACATAGCGCACAATGGCTACCATATCTAACTCATCCAAAGCATGGATAAGGGCAGAAAGCGCAACAGCTGCAGCCTGTCAAAGAAGACACGTAATTATAAACAAAAATAATTGTGTTATGTGCTGTTACATCAGAACTGACTTACAGCAACCCTAATAGGGCTTTCAAGGTACAGTACATGATATATCTTAATGAGGGGTTTTACCAGTTTCATTCCCTTTCCCTGCCAGTGAGTTTCCATGGCCAAGTGGAGATTTGAACCCAGGTCTCCTGAGTCCCATCTACTGTACTACACAAAATTGGGTCTTCAACAAACATCATTTATCCTTAGCAACTGCAGCATTCACAATGAGAGTCATTTCTGTTTTCAAATTAGCATAGTCATTCAAAACCTGCCTTTTTCCTCTTCAAAAGCATAGGAAACGGTGCTCATGCACAGTGAAGTCACAACATCAAGAGACGCAGCAAAGTTGGACACCACAGTACATATGCTATATTACCATTTCAAAATGAAATGGGACGACGTATAACGAACAAAAAGAGATCGATAACGTTTCTTCTCCTAAGTCTCCACTTCTTATTTCTTAAAAGCTGGCAGAGATTTTTATTTTTAAAAATGTAGCCAACATGGCCATCGATTTAATCATGTGAATCAATCACTTCACAAGTACTAATTGCAGGAGCTTAAGAGAAAAGGAGAGGCAATAAAAAGAACTAGCTTGAACAGATTTTATTTCATGTTTCTAGACTCAACAAAGCTGCCTTATAGATGTTGTAGCATTCTGGACTGAACAACCGTCTGGTTATTTTCAAATTTTGTTGTTGTTGTTCAAAGGAGCAGCAAAGACTCTCTTTCCACCTCCTTGATGCTATGGCAATCTAGCTATACTACACACCCAAGAACACTATTCATGATAGAACCACTGGGTGGGAAAACAGGGGGCTGGTAATGAGGCTGTAGTTGCACAACGTTGCTTGGATGCAGGAAATCAGAGTTAAAATGATCATCAGATACATGATGCTATTTGCTGGGAGATTTTTGCCCTAAACCAGTGAGCTCTCATTACAGCTGACACATTCAACCAATGAGGTACAGGCAAGTCAACATTCATGCAAACAGCACTGATTCAGTTGGTCTACTCCTGTGATGGCTAACCCTTTTAAACCTGAGTGCCCAAACGAGGGGAGGGGGTGTTACGGGGACTAGTGGGTGGCAGAAGTGGTGGCGGCGAAAGCGGCAGCGTAAGGGAGAATCCCGGGCACGGAGGGGCCTCCAGACCCCATTCTGGATTCGTGCCCAAACCCCCGCCACTGCCTATAGCTCAGCTGGCCTGCTGGTGCCAGCTGCTCCGGATCCTGGCCCACCGCCTGTCAGGGCACTAGCACTGCGGCTGCAGCCACCTTCTCAGGTTTGGCTGCGGTGGGTGACGATCCAGAAACTTATGGCTCATGTTCCCACAGAGAGGGTTCTGCATGCTTGCTGTGACACACATGCCATCGTTTTGCCACTGCTGGTCTACTCTATCTGGAACTAACAATTGCATTTAGACAATACCATCATGCTCGGTAATAGAGATGGGCACAAACCACCGGTTCAGTAGTTCATGCTGGTTCGTTTTTCAGCCAGATGTTTGGCACTTCCCAACCCTGCCTCCTCTGGCAGGTGCCCACTCAAAGGCAGCACCCCTAGCTTCAATGTTCTGCCTCCTCTGGGTGCTGCCTCTGAGTGAGCGCCCACAGGAGGGAGTGGAGCTGGAAAGCACCAAACACTTGTTCACTTGAAAAACAAACCAGCATGAACTACTGAACCAGCACTTCGTGCCCATCTCTACTCATTAACAGCTCTATCATGCTTGCAATTTAATTTTTTTTCATATTTTCTACAGCCTTCTTACAGCTATGTTTTAAAAATGTTCACAATTAAGAGTAATGAGTTGAAGTATATTTTTATACATTTGCTTAACATCTGCACCCAACATGTTTCTTTTCTTCTTTTTCTTAACATATAATATGGCTTTTGATTTAGAAACAGTCAGAAATTTAAAAATAAAGTAGAACCACAGTATCTGCAGGAGATAAGTTGCAAGACCTGTGGATGCTATAAAATGTGGAAGGATGGAACACTACACGTTGCATGGTCTCTGTCTTATTCTAGTGGCCAGTTCTGGTAAAATATATATATATATAATTGTTACTTCATCATGCTTTTTATTCTGGCATTCGAGAGGTCCTTGTTAACCCTTACATAAGGGCATTTCCTGGATGATCAGAGGCACATTACACACTTCTTTTGCTAACAGGGCGATGCCTTGGCAGATATACTGGGCTAAACCAAAATTCAGATATGCTGAAATTCTGTGCTGCTGCAATCAAAATCCATGAAGAAAAGGTTCCACCCAAAGAGCAGCTATAGTATCTGTAAATTGGTATATACATTCTGTGCTGCTGCAACCAAATTCATGAAGGAAAGGTCCCACCCAAAGGGCAGCTATAGTATCTGTAAATTGGTATATACATGTAGAGGCCTTAGTGATCACATGGGCTCTATGAGCTTCAAAGTAACAACTCTGTCATTCTATGCAAGTTGCAATAGCCCATAGATAAGGCCTATGATAGGGAGGCAGGAGATACAGTATCTAATAAGATCTATGAATGTAGTTTTATATATATGTATATAGATGTTTTTAGTGTTTTTAGATTGATTTTATGTTTCCTAATTTAAATAATGTTCCTTACATTTGCTGGTCAATGA